AACAGGCGTTAGGGCATAACTTTAGCGCTCCGTTACGTTCCATAAAGCACCTCGTGGCCCCTAGCCCAGCACCGTCTAACCTTGACCGCGATAGTCGCCGAAGCATCCACACCTTTTCCCCGTAAAAGTCGACCAGCTGGCCGAGCCGTCCCTTTTCTTCAAGCTCGTCTATCGATTGCAATATCGCGAGACTATCGAGGATGTTTAGGGGTAGCCAGGATTGTTTGTGCGTGGGCTGAGCCTTCGCGTAAACACCGGTTGATCGCGGTCGAGGAGATAGATCGACTCGCGAATACGTTCGATGGCAGCTTAATCCTCGAGGATGACTCGTTCCTGGGACTCACGGTATTCTGCCGGTACACGCGAGATAAGCACGCTCGCTACGAGGAGGATCGCGATCAGTCTGCTGAAACGAGTCTCTCTCTCTCGGAAGAGAGCCGTAAACCGTGGCCAAACAAACCCGAAATAGATAGGCGGGGTGAAGTGGAGTCGAGCCAAGCCGAAGAGACCCGGTCCGCGTATTCTCGGCCGCAAACAAATAATAAACGCTCCTACGCCGTTGCCACGAAACCCCTCTTACCTGATAGCCGCCCTCTCGTTAGATGACTCATGTGATTTCCTCGCGGAACAGCCTCGATACCTCGAAATTGCTCGGCAACCGGGCTTCGTGTTTAGAAACACTCCACGGATGTACAGCGGCGTGCATAATGGGCTTCCTTACCGAACGTTACTTCTGGAAGCAATTTTTACGAGCTCTGAGGATTTAGACAAGTTGAGGATCATTTGGTATCTTAGTAGCTTCAAGACATCACATTTTTTAAGCTGGTAAATAATGTGTACTTAATCTGAAATTAAAAATAGAATTAAAAAATGAATAAACGAACAATGAAGCATGAACTAGAATATACATTTATTTTTTATTTTGGTGAACATTAATTCTGATTTCAAGAATGTGCTTTAACAAAAGGTGTACTTTGTAATAAGAAAAATATAATTATACCAAAAAATGAAATCGCTTCTTAACCTTAACCCCTTGCCGTGCCATTTATTTATGAGGTGCGTCAGTCAAGACTAACCATTCAGGACTATAACATTAAAACGAACAAAGAAAATTAAAATGTTCTAAGTATTTTATATTCAGGGATCCTCGACAACGCAAATTATGGTTGGATCTAAAATTCAAGTTGAAGAGTATTCAAAATTTGAGTAACATTAATCACGTTTGAGTTGTGAGTGCGTCACGAGTGAGACTCGTCGAAGCACGGGAAGGGGTTAAAAAAGTAACCCCATCAGTATCGTTAAACGTTAAGTACCCGATTAGAAGTGGAAGCTATACGAAGATTCGATATGCAGGATTACAAGGGGTACGCGATAAGATTAGTATCTATGAAAGCTCGTGTCAGGAAGGTTCGAGGTTCGTCCACCTTTGGTAAATTGGTCAGCCCCTTTACACGCGCGGTGTAAGTCGAGGCGACGCGACGGTCGTTCTAATCGTTGCCCACGGGGTTGTAATCATCGTTTCCGAGGCATCCAAGGCCACACCCTCGATTCTCATTAAGATTTACCGCCTAAACGAGCGCTACCTATGCTCGGGATCCCGCTTCGAGAAATAATATAAAACGATGTTAGCCGCCTTTTTAGAACGACCACTCCGATTAGTGAAGGCGGTAGGATCCTGTGCTTCTTTTGCAGCCATCTTAGAAACTCATATTACTGGTTGGGATAATATGATAGGACATTCTCTATCGTCGCTGCACTAATTTCTAATAAAATATTATTACGTCGTATCGTACGTTTTGATGACATAAAACTTAGCCGAGATACCACTTATGGTGTATTAGTTTAAAGATTAAGGTTTAATAAAATAGCTGCGTGGAGCTCGTCGGTATTCTTAATACAAACCCTTGTCATAGCAAACAATGAATAATTTCAAAACATACTTGATATGATGGGAAGTACCATGCTTATGGTACATCAATTTAAAGATTAAGGTTTCGAGGAAACGATTACACGAACGCTTCATCGATAGTCTTTCTATAAAATGCTTATCGCGTACAGCAAATAATGACGAACTTGAAAATCTATCAGAAGATGTTGATATGATCTATCACTTACTAAATATGTATTTACATGTAAAATTTCTCGAACTGACATCTTATCTCGCATAAAACGAGCTCATAGTGTAACACATCGAAGAACGATTTAAAGATCATCCCCGCAGTATCTATTCGTCTTCAAAAGACGTCGAATAAAAGTATCCCCGATAAACGTTCGCTTTATATCCATCGTATCTCTGGAATCGAATTCGGTCTATCCAACTGCGTGATCGATATTTCAGTCTTTGGGGTACAATTTTGCCGCGTTTATCGGCAAAAGTTCATGGTAACAAGAGAAAGCGTGTGGCTGGTTTTCGACTCGTACAGAGAAAGCGTGTCAAATTTAATTCCTCGTAAACCACCATTAATTTACGGGTGGTCGGTTCGGCCAAGAAGCCAACAGGCATACGTACAATTATTGGATTTATTTAACGTCGGTTGGCTAATAAGCACCTGTGACCAACAGTTTATACTCTTCCGCGACCTGTCGACACGCTTCGGGAAAATATACGTCTGTCTCACCCTTTAATCTCTGCTTACTTTTCTCATTTTCTTTTCGAGATCTTGAAAAAGTTAACCGAGTCGCAATAAAGCAATGTTAATTTTAAACATAGATGCTCTCTAAATCTCTGGAACTAAAGCATCCCTAAAGTGGTAGATCCAAGGATCTCTGATATTTAGATTCTTAGTATGTTAGATCCTCAAAATGCCTATATCACAAAGTCCTATACTGTCGAATCGCTAGATCCCTAGATTTTTAATCCTCTGGAGTCATAGACTCTCTCCTAGATCCCCAGATTTCTAACTCCTCAGATCTGTAACTCTCCAGATCTGTAACTTTCCAGATCTCTAACTCTCCAGATCTCTAACTCACCCGATCTCTAACTCCACAAATCTCTAACTCCACAGATCTCTAACTCTCCAGATCTCTAACTCCACAGATCTCTAACTCCACAGATCTCTAACTGCCCAGATCTCTAACTCCCTATATCTCTAACTCCACAGATCTCTAACTGCCCAGATCTCTAACTCCCTATATCTCTAACTCCACAGATCTCTAACTGCCCAGATCTCTAACTCCCTATATCTCTAACTCCACAGAACAGATCTCTAACTGCC